AGATCCAGGAATAATATCAGCCATGATAAAAAAGCATCTTATGCCCTGTTTCCATATTGCTTGTTTAGAGCAAGCTACATAAAGGATGTTTACAGCATCCACTATTTAGGTGCACAGGGTATAGTTAGTGATACTATTTTCCATCTTAATAAATAGCTTGAGAAAGTGACTTGAAGGACAAAACTTACTTAGTTACAGGACCTCTGACTTCTAAGATGTTATGAAGTACATGTCCCTTGCTTGAAGTGGCTCTGGATGGTGCATAGTTTTCCATCTAGAGGTTAGATGGATGGGATGCCATATATTCTTCATAACCTTTAAGGATGCTCACAGTTGAAAATGGATGCAGCTAAAACATGAAGGAAATGCTTTATGAGATAAAGCACATAGCTGCATTAAGTAAGGAGGAGAGACTAGGGTAAATGTGAAAATGAAAACACAGGGGAATTCAAAACTGTCAGGTTAAATCTTCATTATTAAAACTTCCCCTTCTTAATAGCTAACTTTGGCCCCGCTCCCTTGCCTTACATAAATAAAAAAACCCCAACTTGCCCATGGATGATGGGAATATAATGAACTGACTGCATATGTGCCTCTGGCACTGTGGGCGTCACAGTTACCTCACAGCCACAATGCACAAATATCCTTCAGGTCTTTCCTGCCTTCTTCTGAGTAGATGAAGTGCCACCAGTATTCCCTTGGTCCCATAAGTCATGCCCCGATAAATCCAGAGAGAGCTGAGCAAGGGGCTGCAGTAGATCAGACTTCTGGCTCTGGAGCACAGGAAGGGGCAGGCTGTTCCCCTGGGCAAGGTGCTGCTCAGGGCTCTTCTCCATATGAAGCTGTTGGATGGCTAAAAAATATCTAAAGCAGGGGCAGGTAGCTGCTGTCCTTTTTTGTCTGGGCTGAAGAGCTCCAGTGTTTGGCCAGACAAAAACCCATGGACTCAGCGTGGTTGTCATCTGGCTGCTCCCTCCGGGAGCAGGTTGACTGAACCAGTTGACTTGGACAGTGATGAGGTCTGGACTGACACCTGCAGTACCTCAATTGGGTAACCAGAACCTGCTAACCATTTCCTATGACCTGCACTCCTAGTATTATCTCTCATACCACTGTACAACAGAGTTTATATGTTTGGAAGATTTACTTGTTTTCTGCAAGGACAGACCCATTCTCTTTTCTCTTTAATGAAAGGACAGACTTGTTCTCCTTAGAGGAAGTCAAGCTTCCTCTAGGTCATACCTTTTCTCTGGGTCCTTGTTGTGACAGGCTCACACATTTGCCTGCATCCAGTTTAAAGGCTTTTCTCTCTCCTTGCTGAGTACCTGTCACAGCAAATATTTTGAATCCTTTCTTTGAATATAAAACCTAACCATCTCCACAGTTACAGCAAAAGCTTTTTGCATCTCTTTTTACTCTTTTTACTTTCCATATCCATATTGTAAGGTCCCCTTGTCTTTGGTTTACCACCTCTCCAGACTTTCACCAGTGCTATTGAAATTTTCTATGCTCTGCTCAGAGCTCCCCAGTTCCATCTTTTCCAAAGCATGGAATAGCAATGCAGCCCATCACTTGGTGAGTGATGTACCTGCTACATCCTGTCAGCTGTGGATGCAGCTTTTCAGGTCAATCAATCAATGTGTCACTTGGTCTCCTTCTGAGGACACTTCTACCATGCCAGCCTCCTCACTGAACACCACTCTGGCTTCTCCCACACTCAGTGGCCTGTCACATCTAATGTACGTGCTCGGCATGCTGCCCTAGTGATCTATGTCGTGGTATTTTTTGTGTCAGATTGACTCGAAAAAAGTGTTGGGTATATGTGAGATGCAGCAGGGCTGCAGGGCAAATCCAGACCAGAGCTAATTGTGCCACTGTTACGCTCAGTGCCTGAGATTAAACAAGCTTGCCTGTCGCTGCCTCCAGCTGAGTTCTGAAAAAACAAAACATATCTGCTACTTCCCAGGATGAAAGCAGGGGAGAAACAGAATTTCCTCATTAAAAAGCCCTCAACAACCAATTCCCCAACCTTCTTCTCTTTAAATATAAAGGTTTCCCAACCATTATGTTGCTAAATTTGGCAGGAGATGATCTTTGTCCCAGAGAAAACAGCTGATTTTACAGCAAAGAAGGTTTTTCCAGCTGTCCTAGATAAGTACAATCTGATCCCAATGGGCCAGTATTTCTTGTGCCATTTTAAAATGTGATTTAGATCTTCTAAGTATTTTAAATGTATGTTATATATACCCTATATGTTCACATTTAGACAGAGATTTACAATAGCTCGCTCAGCTATTCTAGACTATTATTTGAATCTATTTTTCCTCTTCACTTTCTGATGCTCTTCTACCAGCTGGATATCCAGGGAGGCATTGTCCAGTAGTTTTAAAATAACAAATAGAATTATTTTACTGTTAAAATGTCTAGTGCTTTTTCACCTGCTGAAGTGTAATCTTTCTGTAGGTTACATGAGTCTAAGTTATATTTTGCTGGAGGCATTCCAGTACCTATAAAGAGACAATTTTTAAAGCTAACAGCTTCTAAAGGTAGGCTGCAAAACTGCAAAGGCAATGAAACCAAGAGTGTGAGAACAAATATGGTGCATGATTTCAAAACTTCCCTTCCTATAGAAATGCCTTAAAGATGTGAAAGTGGAAGGATACATGACAAAATCACATCCATAGCCACTTTAGAGATCTTCCCTTCCTTCGTTTATGGCCTGTATTTTGTCTGTGTTGATGGTAAATTCTTGCAAACTCTTCAAGACACATATCTAGACACAGCAAAAAAAACAGATCCTTCTGTGTTTATTGAAGATCTTCAGCTGTGGATGCCATGGCTGGCTGGGGCTTTGCATCCTTGTCTAATATTTAATTTGTAGCATAGCTGCAGCTCACATGGGATCCTGGATCCATCAGTCAGAGAAATTTCCAATTAGTCATGAAAAATTTAGTTCAAATAAGCAATACAGGATTGGACCATTATCTATTATTAATCCTTTTTTCAAGCTAAAGTAATTATAAAATAAACAGGTTTCAATCTTATAAAAACAGTCCCAAGTCTTCTCAGAATAACAATAGACTTTGTTATTGCCTTTTTGTAGAAAATCATTAAAAAGCAGTCAGGAAAAATACTTACTAGTTTCAAGCAGACAAAGTTAGTGTGTTTCATTTACAGGAACATTTCCACTGAAACTCCAGATAGAACCAAGCACTCTTGAAGCCTAGAGTCAAAATGAACTAAAAAGAAACAGTAACCATATTACTTTGCCTTCATGTGTACCTTATACAGTCACTATATATGTGTTTAATTCACAGACACATTATGCAAAGAGACCCACGCTACAAAGAGGTAGAAAAAGCTCTATTTCCTTGGCATGCACAAGGTATGTGTTAGGCAACAGCAAATTAAATTTGTCTGGGATGGTTGATGACTTCCACCTTTAACTGTGCTCTATTCATTTACCTGCATCAGTTTAAACCTATTGATTTAAAACTCTTTTTTTATTATTTGATTAAGTAAAGTTTGGATGTGTTCCATTACACAGAGCTGCTTTTTTGCTCATTTATGCTTGTAGTTGTACATGGGCTTCCTTCTCCTGGGTGCAATTTACTCTCAAGTGCTGCACTCAAGAGGCAAAAAGACCTTAAAGGGGACATAAATTAGATCTGGCTGAGTACAAGGCTCAATCAATATAGTTTAAACATTTGAATAGTTCCTGAAGTCCTGTTGGCACATTTGAGTTTGGAAAACACACACTGGGGTAAAGCTGAGGAATCAGCTATAACCTCAGGAGACCAGTGTGCTGAGTCTCCATCTAGAGTCAGTGGGGAGAGAATCTCCAAAATCTACCTCCTTGCAAAGTTTGCTTTGGATTTTTAGGGAATGATCTTGTTCCTCAAATGCGCTCAGCTGCCCAAACACTGGAAGAGCATTCTGTAGTTGTCTACAGAAAAATGTATTCACATCAAGGCTCAAAAATAAAAGTTGACTGTTATTTTAGTATTAAAGCTTTATCTTAGAGCTCTAGACTCCCAAAGGGCATGATGCTTCAATCCAGGATAGGCTAAAAGAGAAAAAATTTTGAAGCACAGATTATAAATACTTCCACAGCAGATTTTCCCACACACTAACTACTGGCAAATTCATAGTAACAAGATAGACTCTTGTACCATCACTTTGAAACTGCTCATTTGCACCTGCTTTTCCTCTTTAGCCCATTCTACTCTATTTCCCAAAAGAACCCCATGAACCACAGTGAGTCAGCACTCAGCACACATTTTAAGAGCACAAAAACCTGTTTCTGATCATTATCAGGAGTGAAGCCCTTTTATCAAAATGGTTAAGTACCAGGAAGAAATAGTCTGGAATTAATGAATCTTATCACTTGAAACTTCAAGTGATTCAGCAAGGCTTCTCTGGTGTCCTGCTCCAAGTATGACCATGGCTAACACTATGCCAGGCCAGCTGAGGCTTTATCTACTGTAGAAAAGATGCAAGGACAGAGATAATAAGCACAGTCCTAGTGTTGCTCTGCTTTTTCCACACCCTCAACAGAAAATACTTCTGGTGGTTCAGATGTGCTATATAAAGCTTGTTCATCTCAAGTAAGTTCTGTGTACTGGCATAATTTGAATGAAAACATGGTACATTTACACAGAATTACATACCTTAAAAACAACTGCAGGTGACCTAATATCTGTTAAGGACTAGATGCTTTGTCACCTTTCTACATTTGGTCCAACCTCTTCTGGTACTGGTTTATGCTGGCATGCAGTGTCAGTGCAGTATAATCTGCAGAGCTTCCCCTAATGCCTAATGGAGATGATGGAAGTCTTTTCACTGCATTCAATCACTTTTGGGTTTGCATTTGTTTTGCTGCTGGGACTACACTGTTGGTTGTTAGTGCTGACCCAAGACCAATAGTCCCAGGTTCTTCATGTAGTCAATCCAACAGCTCCGCTTGCTGAATTTTCTCTCTCTTTTAAACCTTTCCCTAGGTTGGAAAAATCCACAAGAATGCTGCCCGCAAAAGAGAATACCACGTCCTGTTCATGGTGATCACTACAGTTATCTGTTATCTGGTCTGCTGGATTCCATATGGGGTTATAGCATTACTGGCTACATTTGGCAAGCCGGGTGTTGTGGCTCCAGTTACAAGCATCATACCTTCCATCCTAGCAAAAAGCAGCACTGTTTGCAATCCCATTATCTACATACTTATGAATAAGCAGGTAAGACATACATTATTTTTAAACTGTATTTTCTTCAGAGTCCATCAGACATTCTTGTCTATTGTGACTACCAGTCTCGTAGATGTATCTTTAAGGACATTGAAAACTTGTCCAAACAATAGTGCTGGACTCCTGAGGTGGAGGTGTTTGCAAACAACAGCAAAATAACAGGAAAAATGTTTGCTTACAGAAATTGCTTGTGCTCTTCTGAGGGCACACTGGGTATTAATTTGCATCCTTCAGAGTTTGTTGCCAAAGGTATTTACAAGAAGAATACTCAAACATTTGGTGAGGTTGAGGAGTGGGAGAGAAAATGGACAAGGAGACAAAGGGATTTCATGACCTTGAAAACAAAATAAAGGAGACCATTTGTAAATACCATTTTCATGATAGATCCCCTTGAAACCAAACATAATTGCAGTTCCTGTTTTGGTGGACATCTACATCCTTCCTGTTAAATTCACAGTTCAGCTACATGCCAAAATAGATAATGAATTTTGTCTCATGAGTACCAAGGCATGCTAAAATGCCTACATCCAGTTCAGGTCCCTCATTCCTGTAAATGCCATTTTCAGTACTCAAAAGTGAGCCTCCTAATGTGTCTGTGTTGACAATTCTGACTCTAAAGTTTGATAATGGCAGATCTGGAAGTTTTAAAAGCGTTTTGTAGTAGGAAATCTGAAAAATATGCATAGTTTATGAAAACTTTTTTTTATTAGATTATGTGTTAGAGGCTATTCTCAGTTTTCATTCTTCATTATGTCCATTACATTATTACAAAGCAAAGAAACACCCTTTATCTTTTCTTGCTCAGTGTATGCTGGAGCCCACCCTTAGTATTTATCAACAGCAGCATTATATTATTACGGAGCTGAGACAAGGGAAGAGTAAAATGTAACGGGCAAATATATCCGAGTTTTGCCACAGCCTGAGATCATTCTTGGCCTGCTTCATCTAACCTAAATTTCTTAAACAATAAAAGAATCTGCTCTTGGAATTTGAGAGAAAAATCTCAAGCAAACTGTGAAACCTCCCTGAAATCAGAAGGAAAACGTTCTGTTGCCTTCCCCAAGACCAGGGCTTCATACCCAAAGTCTAGTTTGAGCTGACATTGAAGCAAATAGAACGTTCCATTTGAAAAGTGTTAATGCTGAAGAAAACCAGTAACTGTTCCCCCTTTCCTTTTACGATTCTTATGAAAATTTCTCAACAGCAGCATCTGTCTTGCTTCTTTATTCTCTGAACACTTTGACTGAGGTCCTTTACTGAGAGATAATCTGATTGTGCTGTGATCACTGGAGGATGTTATATAATATTGATAGCAGGTACATTTTGATATTGTCTTTACGCATGGAGCTGCAATGAGCCACCCTGAAGGGGAGGAGCTTGGTCAGATTGGGATAGATACTTTTTACTAATCAAACCAAATTGATAGCTAACGTGCAGCATTAACCTGTAGCTCTCCTCTGCTGTGCCACTGTGTATTAGCAGTGAAAATGATTGGTTTTAACTGGCATTGAGAAATGTGCTTCACTCAGAAAGGTGGAACCCACCCCTTTGTCTGGTCCTCCTCCTTTCAGAACAGGAACAATAGTAACACCCCCATTCAATTCATCACTGGTGTTCTTGGCACCTCTGTAGTTGATGTCACACTTTCTTGTAAATTTAACACCTCAGGAAAAGAAGTTGTTAATCTTCCTGGCACTCAGCTTTCCTGGTCTTCATGCTTAGCTGAGAATTGTCACAGAAGGCTGGTGCCTCCCAACACAGAAATTATTTGACCTGCATTTTTCACAGTTCTTTGTTTGCAGATGTGAGGTACCACAGTAGGGTATTTACTCCTGCACCTTATAAATACACAGAACATATGGCATAATTTTTAGCTCTCTATATATAAGTCTTTTTGCTCTGGGAAATGCCCCGAAGATTGGAAAACAGTGTTGGTTGCCTTCAGCTGTAGTGTTAGCTTCCAGCTGTCATAAATCTGTGCAGAATATTGTGGAACCATCAGCCTCTGAGTCAGCTTTAAAACTCATCCTACAGAGCACATCTTTAAATTAACTCTCAAGCAGTCTCTTAGTCACTTTCATGGTCCTGGAAATCTAGAGAAAGAGTTTTGTCTTTGGCATTGCCTACTGCACTGACCTGAGGTGGTAAATCACTGAGGAAAATAGTGAATTTCTTTCCAGGTGCAGGAACTCCCTCAGATGGGATGGCATGCCATGAGGTGTGCTGCTGTCCTTCTTCCTCTGCTGTCTTCCCGGAGGAGACAGATGCACTGTTTAAGCTGGACTGTTACTGTGCTCACAACATGCCAGCCAGACAACAAGATTCACTGACAAAACTGAAGCACAAAACTTCCTGAGACCAAATGATGCTGGGGTGAAGCTGGAGGAGACAGTAGAGAAGATTCCATTTTCCCTGTTCTCTCTTTATGGAAGGCTCTCTTGGCTCTTGGCAATAAGGCTGTGTGTGGCTGGGACAGCTTCCCCATAGGTCAGGTCCCAAAAAGGCAGCACACAGCTGGGCAAGGTCAGTGTGCTTACACTTTCAGTGCCTCAGTCCTTTATAATGATACAGTTAATGTAGTTGGGCAGATTTTGTTTCATCTTCTCCTACCTCTCTCTCAGTCTTTTATTCCCTTCGTACATCCCTGTCAAGTTCCCACTGTTCAAACTTCCAGCCATGCAGCCACCCCAAATGGATTTTTAATGCCAGCTCCAACTACCTTCCTTTCACCATGGTGGTGCTAACAGGAGCCTGCTCTTTTACATATTGCCATGTGTTATAAATGCAAAGGCAGATTTGGGTTAAATAAAAACAATTTATTATAAAACAATTTCTATAAAAAATAAACAATGAGGAAAAACCACAATAAAACAAACAGCGCAGCGCTGGGTGGACAGGGGTCTATACTCAAAGGTATAGGTGTTCCCAAATCCACGAAGGAGGGTAAACTGTCCGGGGTTTTTATAGGGATTTTTAGCCTTGAGGCCAAATTCCAGGCAGGCACCATTCATCAACAGTCCTTGATTGTCGTATGAATTGATTTCCTGGCGTTGGAGAATAGAGTCGAATGGACGTCCGGACCGAGTCTCCTCATATGTAAAGAAATTCTGAGTGGCTCTTGTGGTTCAGGCCATCCGGGTGGGATGGCTGGATCCGGGTTGGAGCCGATGGATATTTCGGTTGGATTTTTCCTTTTGTTTACTTGATGGCTTCCCCCAACGGTAGCCCGCAAGGCGAGGTGTTCAGGTCCGGTGATGAATATCTCGTCGGAGCTTCTCCGTTTTGGCTTGATGTTTCGTGTCCTGTCTATTCTTCCCTGTTGATGGTCACCGAGCCTGTCCTTGTCAGTTTGAGGAGTTTTTTTTTTCTGTCAGCTTGATGGGCCGCGTCCTGTCTATTCTTTTTGTTGATGGGCGCCGGCTAGGATCGTTATCCTTTGAGTGGGAATTCGTGGCTAGATCTGGGAAGGGCTTGTGTGTCATACTGCACTTTATATTTTATATCATTATTGTTATATACATTTATTTAGATTTCTACGAATTTTTACAAGTTCATTTCTCACACCATGTAAGCAAGTATTAAGCTTGCTTATCTCCTGTAACCCAGGAGATAAGGAGTTTGCCTGTAGCCATGGGTTTGCTGCTGAGGAGGTGATTGCTGGGAGAATCCTTCTGTTGTGTGTTTCACACAGGAGCCCCAACATGGAACACTGACATAGAAGTCAAAATGCTGATAATGAGTGTTCAGGAAGGTCTGGTTATGGGTGAGATCACAGTGAGATTGAGTGAATCTCCACTTGCTATTTCACATCATTTGAAGATGGTACTCAGAGAAAATATAAATTTCCTGCATTGCTACTGACAGCCAAATTTAAGCCAAGTTTAAACCTGTATCACTTTTAGATCTAGAGAACCAATTGTCTGAAAACTATCAATCAGATTACAAGTCACAGTCTTTGCTGAAGTAAAATAGCCTTGCTCCCCTGCAGGTCATGAGCTTTATGCCAATTTCTTTCACATTTTTTGTTGCTTGGGTAGTGCACCTAAGTCTCCTTGGAATACTGAAACTCAGGCTAGCACATCTAATTGCATATTACGATTGGAGAAAAAGCCCACCCAAGCCATGTGACCAGTAATGTGCTATTTCTGGTGTCAGAAAGTGCCTCTGAGCAAAATAAGGAGGGAGATTGTGAGGAAAGGGGTGTATCAAATGTGAATATAAGTCCCTGATTAGTGATTTGATTTCTAGTCTCTGTCTTCTTGTATTAAAGTCATTGCACTTTAAAAAAAAAAAAAAAAAGGGGACCCTGTAATTTTTCCCAAGAATCTTGAGAAGTGATGCTTTAAAGAATGTACACACTTACTTGAAAGTACTTACTGTGACCTTTCCAAATTTATCATGTAATGGAGCATGATGGGTAAGGGAGAAATTAAGGAGAAAGAATGATAAAACCAAGCCAAGTACAAAGACATTTTTTTTTTTTTTTCCTGAAGAGATTTGAATAGTACTGATAATGCTGTACTTAGTGTTCCTGAATGGGACTTGAGTGGTCCTGAGTGGGACCTGGGCCTAACATTACACATCAGACACCTCCCAGGTGCCTCTGCTGTGGCTCTGACAGTCCCAGGAAGTTATGCCATCTCCTCTTACCTAATGAGCGGCTTGTTGCTCAGGCCAGCCCCCTCTTCCAGGGCCTTCATGGAAATTCCCAGCTGCCAGATGAATAACAAAGAATCTTGCTGTCCATAATAATAGTCTATTTGTTCTCTGTATATGCAGTTTTCTAGAAACCCTTTTCAGTCCTTCTTGATCTTAACTTTTGCACTGAACAGGAAGAAATGCATATGAGCTTTGGGAAAGGGAGATACACATGATTGTGATTAAAAAAATAAATAACCTTAGCATTCCTCCACTGGCTGTTATAACAGCTCTATTTTCAGTCATGTTTCATGGGGTATTTTGCAGTTCTTAGTATTTCCAACAAAAGGTAATGGCTCATTTTTAAAGCTGGAGGAATACGTGCATAAGTTAACAGTATATTTTATAAGTTGCTCGTTTTCCCATTTGGAAAGCTAAGACATTTTAGCTGTGTGAGAACACAAAACTACAGATCCAGAAAGACAGCATGCAATTCAGGGACAATTGCGCCAAACCTAATTTTTTACATAAATTGGGACACATCTGTTAAGTCCTGAAAAGAGTCCTTGTTTTCTTAGTTCAAACCTTTGAGAGGTTTGTGGACTTACCATAAGATTTATTATCTTGTTTTAATTTTCCATTAAAATTCACATAGATTTCAATACTCATGATCTGTTTTCCTTTTTCCTCTCTTCACTGGTAGCTAAGCTGTCTTTGAGTAATTAATAGTCCAAATAGAATGGCACACCCGAGCTCTTCAGTTGAAAACAGGTCAAGTCAAAATGATCTCTTACTGCAGAATACTTTATTGTAGTACAGCTCAGAAATATTTTGACATGA